AATAAATGGTGCAGGAGTGTTAGTCAAAAAGGGATTTTGTTCTCACCATCTTCTGCTCATGCTAGTGGACGATGTTTTGACCTAGTCAAGGTCTACCATCCTGCATACCAACCTGATGATGGTTCTAGGAGATGCAACTCACATGACACCTAAGGGAGTTGCAGATTGGGCAATGGGGTGGGGGTTGTTGGAGGGAGGGGGCTGGGCAATGTTTGATATGTATGATTTTGCGCTTTTCTGACTCAGACCTTGCTTTGCTTTCGCAGCTATCTTTTCATAACCAGTAAAAGTATTTTAATTCCACGAACAATGGAGTTAGGAGTTTTCTTTCTTGGTTATTGAGGGAGGCATGCCTGACATTAAGCAAGGTCTCACCTCACACCCATCCCGGAGTTAAAAGCTTCCATGGGGGGAGCACCCAAATGTCTAACCCCTGCAGCAAACAGGAAAAGACGATGGCAAGGGTCACAACCAGCCAAAAGCCAGAGGATGACTGGCAGGCAGCTAAAAAAGAGGATCTCATGATGACCCACGCTTTACATCTTCTTCAGTAGGTTTGGGAACGATGACACATCCGTGTAAGTCTTGCTGAATGGGAGAGTGGATTAGCTGAGCAGGCAGAGTGGGGAGCAGAAGACCTGGTTAGCCCTGGAACATCCCTGAGAACAGCTATCAGAGCTGGGCAAGAGGGAGGGGCCCCAACCACAGCAGCAGCAGTTCACGCTCTCCCAAGGAGGGGGGGAAACCCCCGAAGGCACCAAATGCCTCCGATTCCTCCACTTGGAGTGAAGTACAGAGAAGATCTCAAAGAACTGGTGGTTTTTTTACTACAAGTTTGGGACTACATGCATGAGTTTGGGGAGGTTTTCTCATCGGAAGTTGCCAAAGTAATTAGTGTTACTATGGCTTTGGAAGGCAAAGCAGCTGCCTGGATGATAGCCTTGCGCAATGATGATTCCCCCCTGCTGAGGGATTACAAGGGGTTTATGACTGCCCTGAGGAAACATTTTGATGACCCCCCTCCTAAATCAAAAGGTGAAAAACAAGATGAAACCCTTAACCCAGGAGGGGAGGCATGAGGCTGAATACAAACAGGAGTTTTGTGAGCTGTTTGTGCATATGCGGAGAAGGCCCGGAAAGGCACCAAAAGCAAGAATGGATGGGCATTGGGAACCCAACTGCTATGCTAGACATGGCCCAAAACTGACCCCAGCTGGTAGGGAGGAACCTGGCTGGCAACTAGGGAGACGCTGTGAAACTGCCCTGGAAGGTGTGGAAGGTGCTGATGTCCTTCATCCAGGCCAGGAAGAGAAGGAACCCTCCTCCTCCATGGGAGAAAGTGAAACTGATTCAGATGATGACCACTCAGTGAATCCCCAATTTGGTTCCATGACCATTCCAGTAGAACTTAAAGTGCCCTCTACTGGAGCCCAAGGGAAAATGCTAGCCCTCCTGGACTCTAGATGCACTCGTTGCGTAATTAGCCTGGAAGTGGTGGAGAAAATGGCATTTAGACTGAGAACTTTGAAAGTGCCCATTGCTTTTTGCCAGTTGAACGGGACTGTGGCTGGGTGGGAGCCCTGCTCATTTTGTAACTGAACCAGTAGAAATGTGGATGGGGGATCACCAAGAGACTTTGAGTTTCATCGTTGCACCAGGGATGGATTGGCTCCTCATACTGGGATTATCCTGGCTACGTAAATGGAACCCATACCTGAATTGAAGAAAAGGGTGGTTGCGCATCCATTCCTCTAAACCCCCGGAGGGGAAGGGGAGGGTGTCCCACATAGCCAAGTCTGAACCAAACCTAGCAGGTGCAGCACAGGAAAAAATTGAAGGGCAAGAAAAAATGCCCAAAGAATATTGGGACCTCAAGGAAGTTTTCAGTGAAAAGGCTTCTGACACATTGCCCCCCACATCACGCTACTGATTGCAGCATCAAGATCATCCCAGGGAAGAAACTCCCTAAGCCCCAGATTTACTCAATGACCCCATGTAAAATGGAGGAATTACAGAAGTTTATTGACAAAAACTTTAAAAGGGGTTTCATACAACCGGCTAGGCCATGGATGGCCACACCTGTATTGTTCAGAGAAAAGAAAGATGGCTCCTTTTGTTTATGAGTTAATTACAAAAATCTTAATGGGATTTGCGTGGAAAATGTATACCCCCCTGCCACTCATGAAGGATATGTTAGCCCAGTTGGGAAAGGAGAAAATTTTCACGAAGTTGGACCTAAGGGAAGCCTACTACAGAGTCAGAATCAAAGAGGGGAAAACTGCTTTCAATTGCCCTTTGGGATGCCAGTACTTCCATTTGGACTGCAGGGGGTGCCAGCAGTTTTCATGCAATTAATAAATGAAGTTGTGCATGAGCACCTGTACAAGGGCGTGTTAGTCTACCTTGACAACATCCTTATCTACACAGAAACACATGATGAACACGTGATTTTGGTGCAACCAGTCCTAAAAAAACTCCGGGCCGCTAAACTTTATGCCAAATTATCTAAATGTGAATTTCATCAGGAAAAGATTGATTACCTTGGATACCGCATCTCGCACAAAGGCATTAAGATGGACCCAGCAAAAGTCCAGCTGTCACTGATTGGGCACCTCCTCACACCCGCAAGTAATTGCAAAGTTTTCTGGGTTTGCAAATTTTTATCATCAATTTATTCCCTCGTTCGCTAGCATTGCACTGCCCATTACAAATCTCCTAAAATCAAAGGGAGAAACCAAACCTTGACCGGGTAAGCCTTTGAACTGGATTATGGACTGTCAACCCACTTTCGAGAAATTAAAGTGACTTTTTGCAGCGAAACCAGTTTTGAAACACCCTGATATGGATGCGCCATTCATGGTACAAGCTGATGCCAGTGACGTGGTGGTGGGGACAGTATTACTTCAAACAAACGCCAAGGGTAAATTGCAACAGTGCGCTTATACCTCATGTAAGCTTACAGAGACAGAAAGGAGATGGGCCATATGGGAAAAGGAAGCTTTTGCTGTCAGATGGGCGTTGATGACCTGGCGACACTTCCTAGAGGGAACGAAACACCCTTTTGAAGTATGGACTGATCATAAAAATTTAGAAGCATTGAAGGTAAGCTGTCACCTAAACAAGTGTGTTGGGCACAACACTTCAACTGTTTCAACTTTACCCTCAAGTACATCCCCAAGGGGAAGAACTTTATGGCTGATGCCTTGTCCAGGCTTCCCCACTACAACAGCTCTAGGTTGAGTGTGGTTCATCCAGTCATTACAGCTAAAAATCTGGCTGCCCCAATGGTTACTAGGAGCCAAAGCCCAGTGGACTTGGATGTGACTAAGGACCTAATGAACAAACTCAAAGAGGGCCTTGAATCCAATGACTGGTTCAAGAAACATTCTGATGAATGCACCATTAAGGATGGACTGGCTTGGGTAGGAGCCAGACTATATGTTCCTGCTAACCTGAAACCTGTCATTCTTCAACGGGCCCACAATTTGAGAATAGCGGGCCATTTTGGATTTGTAAAAACTTTGTATTTGACTAAGAGACACTTTTTGTGGCCTTCATTGAAAAAAGACATTGAGTCCTACATAGCCAGTTGTCCCATCTGTGCGGCCGCAAAAAGACCACTGGGGAAGCCCCAAGGTCTCCTCCAAAGTGTTGCCAGTCCTGGGGCTCCATGGAAAGAGATATTGATGGACTTTATTGTCGAGTTACTGGAGAATAGCATTATTTGGGTTATCACCGATCTGTTTTCCAAACAGGTTCATTTTGTGCCTTGCTCCAAGATCCCATCAAGAAGTCGTTGGCTAAATTGTTTATTTTACATGTATATTGGTTACATGGAGTGCCTGAACGCATTATTTCGGACAGGGGGGTCCAATTCACCTCTCTCTTTTGGAAAGAATTCCTGAAATTGACTCCACTCAGGGGCTAAGCTCCGCCCACCATCCTCAGACTAATGGAGCTTGTGGACTAACTCG